CATCCCCTCCTGCAGCCCCATCCCCTCCTGCATCTGCATCCCCTCCTGCAGCCCCATCTCCTCCTGCAGCCCCATCCCCTCCTGCAGCCCCATCTCCTGCATCTGCATGTCCTCCTGCAGGTTACCTGAATGTGCTGGTGAACAGCCAGTGGAAGTCTCGCTGGTGCTCTGTCAGGGACAATCACCTGCACTTCTACCAGGACCGGAACCGGAGCAAGGTGGCCCAGCAACCCCTCAGTCTGGTGGGCTGCGAGGTGGTCCCAGACCCCAGCCCTGACCACCTGTACTCCTTCCGCATCCTCCACAAGGGCGAGGAGCTGGCCAAGCTTGAGGTACCACTGGCCTGTGGGGCAGGGAGCAGGGCCAGCCAGGGTGTGGTGGTGGTGGCTGTTTGCTGCCAGTCTCCAGGACTGTAATCCTACCAAGGAAGAATCAATCGCCGCGTGCGTTATTTTTACTTCCTTTGTCTGAGATTGTTTGCATTTTTAAAAATTTCCATTCCTTTTCTGATCTCAGGGTGGTTGTGCTATATGAGTGGGACCATGAGCTACTTCCTGCACTTAGGGCAGGAGTATTTATAACTCTCTAAGCTGCTGGGAATTCAAAGTGGGTGCTGTTTTGTTTGGGTGTCACCAGTTGGGAGAGCCTCTAGGCCCAGTACATAAAAACTACACTGTTCGAGCTTATCTGGGGGAAAAATCGCTTTGTGATACAATTACATTCCTCTCACTCCCCACCCTCTGTTTGATATGATGTTACATTTACAAAAATAAGGAGTGACATAATGCCTCACGGGCGTCGGCAGGCAGAGACCGAGTCCCTTCCACTCCTGGAAGCACACACTTGCCCACGAATGCCCCGTTCACTTAGTCTTTGAGGAGGAGGTCCCCATCCAAACCTTGCTCCAATCCTGCCCTCTGGTGGCTGAAAGACCTACATCGCAATTGTTTCCCAGGGCCCAGTTTATAGCTTATATTCATTCATCCATTCATCCCTTCCCCATCAGTAAACATGTCCTCAGCACAGGAATATGGTGGACAAGAACAATAGGGGCTCCCTGTCCTTGTGGCACGTACGTCCTAGTTTGGGAGTGTGATGTTACTCAGCAAATCACCCAACTGGCCGGGCGAGGTGGCTCACACCTGTGATCCCAGCACTTTAGGCAGCCAAGGCGGGCGGATTACCTGAGGTTAGGAGTTTGAGACCAGCCTGACCAACATGGAGAAACCCAGAACTTACTAAAAATACAAAATTAGCCGGGCATGGTCGCGCATGCCTACAATCCCAGCTACTCAGGAGACTGAGGCAGGAGAATCACTTGAACCCGGGAGGCAGAGGTTACCGTGAGCCAAGATCACACCACTGCACTCCAGCCTGGGCAAAAGAGCAAGATTCTGTCTAAAAAAATTAATAACTGGGAAAAGGAAACCAACTAAATGTCAAATTCTGCTCATCATGGCCTCTTTGATGAATGTAGCAGCAAATGTTCTGGAGCTATGGGTTATACCAAAGGGGGCTGATTCTCCTCATGAAAGTAAACCTGTAGCTTTTATAAAATGTGCAGTTTTTTTCTCATTATAAAGGTAAGAAACCATGTTGACATTTTAATAGAGGTACCCAATGTATAAATTAGATTAGAATGCATTGTCCCCTGGGAAAAAATTACCAGATTCACTGGGATTTAGATCATGATTTAGTAGCTGAGCTGGTGTAAGGCATTTACGACGTCCTGACTTTACTGAAGTCATGAACAAAAATAAATTTGAGTATTGTTTCTTAGGGATCCAGGCAGTCTTGTTGTGTATGGGATTAGGGTGATAAGATGACATGCATTGTTCATAAAATACAAGTGTCAAAAGACACACAATTTTTGATAATCATTTAAACTATTAACAGGTGATCACGTTAACAATTATTAATAGTAATCACCTGGTGATAACTAACAGTTTTCACCTCCCGGAGACACAATGTATATAAATCACATATAGCCCTCGGGACAAAAGTCCACAGCATTATTGAGGTAGCATCAAGATGTCACTGACAGGGGCCAGGCACGGTGGCTCACGCCTGTAATCCCAGCACTTTGGGAGGCTGAGGCGGGCGGATCTCAAGGTCAGGGGTTAGAGACCAGCCTGGCCAATAAGGTGAAACCCCGTCTCTACTAAAAATACAAAAATTAGCTGGGCATGGTGGTGTATGCCTGCAGTCATAGCTACTCAGGAGGCTGAGGCAGGAGAATTGCTTGAACCTAGGAGGTGGAGGTTGCGGTGAGCCGAGATCAGGCCAGTGCACTCCAGCCTAGGCAACAAAAGCGACTCCCTCTCAAAAAAAAAAAAAAAAAAAAAAAAAAAAAAAAAAAAAAAAAAAAAAAAAAAAAAAGGAAAAAAAAAAAAAAAAAAAAAAAAAAAAACCAAAAAAAAAAAAAAAAAAAAAAAAAAAAGAAGTCACTGACAGGAAATGTCATTTGGGGCCACTGGGGGGTGGGAAATGCTGGTGATTAGGAGGAGCATGGCCCCAGGCTGTCCCAGGGGCTTTCGTGGGTGGGTTTGGGGATAGAGGTATGGGCATGGCCTGGTGGGGAGGGGCTGGCACCAGGGAGCACAGCCCAGCCCAGCCCAGCCCTGCTCATGTCTCTCTCGGCCTCGTTCCAGGCCAAGTCTTCCCAGGAAATGGGCCACTGGCTGGGTCTCCTGCTGTCTGAATCAGGCTCCAAGACAGACCCAGAAGAGTTCACCTATGACTATGTGGATGCCGACAGGGTTTCCTGTATTGTGAGTGCAGCCAAAAACTCTCTATTGTGAGTAATCTGGGCCCTTTCTCTGTACACTCTCCCATTCCTGGCCATGCTGTAGGCCCTGGGTCAGCCGGAGCCAGGGGTAGCAGAGAGCCTGGGGTTCCACTCTGCTCTGCCTGCAGGGAAGCTGCAAAGCCCAGGAGCAGCCCTCAGGAGGCCCGGCCCAGAGCCAGGAGCTGAGCTGAGAGCCAGGAGCTGAGCCAGGCTCCGGGCCCCTAGGGCGGTGCTGGCATCCTTAGCTGCAGCTGGACTCTCCAGCTCCTCCAGGCAGTGCTGTCACCTTTCCTGACCTCCTCCTCCTCCTCCCCCCAGTGAATCCCTCACTGGGTCTTCAGCACACCCTGGAGAAAAGCAGGTCGGGGGTAGTACTTCTGTTTCCAGATGAGCAAACTGGGGCTGAGGGAGAGGTGTTCTCTGGTCAGGGTAGTAGGGCCAGTCTAGTGGAAGCCGGCTGAGCCACTGAAACACAATCCGTTTTCTCATGGACCAAACGGAGATAGTGTCTGGCCTGCACGGCCCTGAGTGTATTGTGAAGATTAAATGAGAAGAGATTTTCGTTGTGGTTGCTGGAAGAAGATCCTAGAAGGGAGGAACTGGGGAGAAGATGGATGGCAAAGGGATCCTAGGAGGAGGGCATGGCAAGGGAAGGCTGTCTTTCTGGGAGGAAAATCTGGAACCAAGAATTCCAGGAAGAAGGCACTGGGAAAAGAGGGAGGAGGCACCCTCAGATCCATGGAGGTGGATGTCCACTCCAGATCTCTTGTGCGGCCACCGCTTTCACGGCAACCACTCATCACTGGGGATTCTTGGAGCCTGGTGCTTTCACCACCCTGTCCCAGGTGCTTCACGCCTGCCACCTTGCCCTGTTTCTAGACTGATGCAGAGAAAGTTCTCAGAGCCCAACACTTACATCGATGGCCTGCCTAGCCAGGACTGCCAGGAGGAGCTATATGATGACGTGGAACTGTCGGAGCTCACAGCTGTGGTAAGGACCTGGCCAGGCAGTGACTTGGGGCTCTCCAGACTTCCTCCTGCAAACCTCAACGCCTGGGTGCCAGAGATCATTAGAGTGTCCCTGAGATCAGCAAGTTCTGAATCATCTACCAGGCCATTAGTGCAGACACCTGAGTGTAGCAAGGCTGTCTCTTATATGCGAGGCTGTGCAGTTTGCTTGGCTCGGGGACTTATCTAGATGAAACACCATAGACCACTCTGGTCAGGGCTAGGGGTGTGGTGGTGGAATTGGGAGTGGAGGCACCAGTAGGCTTCTGGATCCAAATCGATCGTTGAGGTGTGATGATCACACGGATGGCAGCTTGCATGTGCTGGGCACTGACCCCTGGCTGAGCTGGGGACCTCCTGCAGATGATCTTCAATCCTAACCACCTGATGGGAAGGTGCTGCTATTTTCCTCCTTACAGATGAGGAACTTATAAGGTTCAGGGAAGTGAAGTGCTGTGTCTGGATCTTCCACCTCGAATGGCACATCCAGGACTCAACCAGTGCCCCCCCCTAGGAGGCAGGGAGATCTCTGGGAATATCGTGAGGTGGGCACAGGAGCTGCGAGGCAGGGCTGGTGCCCCCTCCACAGCTAGGGAGCAGACGTAATGGTGCATGCCTGCAACTCTTCTCTCTCCTGCAGGTGGAGCCTACCGAGGAAGCCATCCCTGCTGCGGATGACCCAAATAAGAGAGAATCTGACCGAGTGTACCTGGACCTCACACCTGTCAAGTCCTTTCTGCACGGCCCCAGCAGTGCACAGGCCCAGGCTTCCCCGACCTTGTCCCGCCTGGACAATGTGACTGAGTCCCTCCCTGCAGATCCAGACCCAGGTCCCACCCCAGATGAGCCCTGCATAAAGTGTCCAGAGAACCTGGAGGAGCAGGTACAGACCCTCCCCTGAAGGTGAGCCAGACCACCTCCCCAGCCCCATCAGCCACTGAGTTGTGTCTGCTTTCTCCCAAAGCAGCTGGAGAGTTTGGAGCCTGAGGAGCCTTCCCTGAGAATCCCCACTGTCAAAATCCAAACTGAACAGCAGAGAATCTCCTTCCCACCAAGCTGCCCCGACACCCTGGTGGCTACCCCGCCTGGTGCCAGCCCACCTGTGAAGGACAGGTTGCGCGTGACCAGTGCAGGTACTTGTGCTTGGGGAAGTTACCCGATTCCATTGGTATTAGTCGGGGTTCTCTAGAGACACAGAACTAACAAGATAGATGTATATATGAAGGGGAGTTTATTGAGGAGAACTGACTCACATGATCACGAGGTAAAGTCCCATGATAGGCCTTCTGTGAGTTGAGGAGCAAGGAAGCCAGTGGATCAGTCCAAGTCCCAAAACCTCAGAAGTAGGGAAGCTGACAGTGTAGCCTTCAGTCTGTGGCCAGAGGCCCGAAAGCCCCTGGCAAACCACTGTAAGTCCAAGAGCCCAAAAGCTGGAGAACTTGGAGCCTGATGTTCAAGGGCAGGAAGCATCCAGCATGGGAGAATGACGAAGGCTGGGGAAGACTCAGTGAGTCAAGTTCTTCCACGTTCTTCTGCCTGCTTTATTCTAGCCACGCTGGCAGCTGATGAGGTGTTGCCCACCCAGACTGAGGGTGGGTCTGCCCCTCCCAGTCCACTGACTCAAATGTTAATCTTCTTTGGCAGCACCCTCACAGACACACCCAGCAATAACACTTTGCATCCTTCAATGAAGTTGACACTCAGTATTAACCATCACACCATCCTTTTCAGGTTAGGAAATAGGTTCAGAGAGGCAGAGGGACCTGTCCAGGGTCACATAGCAACTAAGATATGGGCCCAGCTTCCTTTCCTACCCCTGCTAGGCTGGCTTGGCATCCAGCTCTGCTCCTGTATCAAAGCCCCAGGTTCTGTGTGAGCCTGAGGAGTAGACTGGGGACAGCCTTCGTGGTCCAGCCGGGCTGACCTGGGGCTTCTCTCTCTGGGTCTGTAGAGATCAAGCTTGGCAAGAATCGGACAGAAGCTGAGGTGAAGCGCTACACAGAGGAGAAGGAGAGGCTTGAAAAGAAGAAGGAGGAAATCCGAGGGCACCTGGCTCAGCTCCGGAAAGAGAAACGGGAGCTGAAGGAGACCCTATTGAAATGCACAGGTAAGAGGCCTCCCAGTAGGGAGGGACCCTCAGTTCAGAGGGCCGTGTAGGCTTGCACTTTTTGGGGGAAGATCTGTCACCTGGTGGCCCTGGCCCCTTTCACCCTGGGCCTAGGTGGGTGCTCCCTGCATGTCCTCTCTCCTCCAATCATGTCTGAAAGGTCATCCTCCTGCACAGAGAAACACCTCTAACTGAACGTCAGCAGGACCAGCAGGTCATCGTAAAAGCTAGTTAAAGGAGGAAGTTTTGTAGGATTATGCTTAGGCTTTAAGTATTTTATTGTCATTTAAATGCATATTCCTTGGCCCGTCTTCTGAGGACCTGGAACCGCAGACTTTCTGAGCCCTGCTCAGCTGACTGGAGTCTTCTGTCATCCTCCATGCATTAACTACACCTGTTAATGCATCAGCCTTCATTTCTTTAAAGTGAACAAAACCTTAAGGCACTTGCCAAGAACAAAACCTTAAGGCACTTGCCAAGAAGTCCTTCTAGATTATCATCTTCCAAACCACATTATCATTTGACAGCTATTTGCTGGCAATCTGCCTCTTTACAATTTTTAAAATTAAAAAAATGTTAAAATTGAGATGAGGTCTTGCCATGTTGCCCAGACTGGTCTAGAGCTCCTGAGCTCAAGGGATCCACCTGCCTTGGCCTCCTACAGTGCTAGGATTACAGGCGCGAGCCACCGTGCCCGGCTGCAACCTGCCTCTTCTAGAACCTTTCCAAAGCATTTGACTTAGTTTTCGTGGAGTAACTGTGTTTATTTAAACTGTAGAGTTGCATGAACAAGCACAAGCAGCAGCGCAGGTTTGGGACAAACCCAGCTGGCTGACGAGGGAAGGTCTTGAGGGTGCGAACTCACCCGCTGGCTTTTCTTCAATTACAGCTTTGAGACATAATTTACATATCATGCAATCGACCCATTTAAAGTGTGCAAATCGTGGTTTTTAGTGTAGTCACAAAGTTATACAACCATCGCCACACTCCGTTTCAGAAGCCTGTACCCATTCGCAGCTGCTCTGTTTCCCCTGCTCCTATCCCTAGACAGCCACCGACCTGCCTTCTCTCTCTAAATGCGCAGCTCTGATTTTGAGGGTTCAGCAGTCTTGGGTATTGCCAGTGCACAGAGGTATGGGGCAGTAGCCGGGCTTCTTTACCACCCAGCTGAGACTAGAGGGTGGGGCCTGAGCTGATGAACGTGGCCAGGGGTTCCTCTAAGACAGTTCTCTGAAAGCCCCAAGAAAGCACTGAGCTGGGGCTGTGAGGAGGGCACCTGGGATTCGCACCCCTTCGTCTCCTTTGTGGATATTCTAGGTGGAGGAAGAGAAAGAATTTTCATTGTAAGTCACTCACCTGGCAAATAAGCCCTGTTGGTCCTGGGTTAATAAGCCACAGATCCTCAAAAAGTGATTCTCAAAGTATTGATACCGACCTCTAAATCTGAACTGTATTTTTTTTTCTTTTTTTTTTTGAGGCAGCATCTTGCTCTGTTGCCCAGGCTGGAGTGCAGTGGTATGGTCTTAGCTCACTACAGCCTCTGCCTCCTGGATTCTAGTGATTCTCCTGCCTCAGTCTCCCAAGTATCTGGGTTTACAGGCATGTGCCACCACGCCCACCTAATTTTTGTATTTTTAGTACAGATGGGGTTTCTCCATGTTGGCCAGGTTGGTCTCGAACTCCTGGCCTCAAGTGATCTGCCTGCCTCGGCCCCCCAAAGTGCTGGGATTACAGCCATGAGCCGCTGCACCCAGCCTGAACTGTATTTTTTTAAACTCCATTCCTCAAAACATCATTGGCATACTTTTTCGTTCCTTCTCTCTTTAGAGATGGTCCTTCAATAGCACCTGTGAATTTTCCTTAAATAGCGGCCCTGTGCTCAGGATGCTATGTGGTACACATGTGAAACCCTCCTTTCCTCTAGCTGTGAGCTCCTAGGATACAAGCCATAGGTATCATTCCATGGTGTGGCAGCATCAATCCGAGAGGTCCAGGGTTAAGAGGAGGAGCCAGGGCTGAGGACTCCTGCTCTGTTAGGCCTAGGGAAGTCAGAGGATTGAAGGAACTCGGTGGGGCAAGTCAAGCTGCCCAGCCCTCCTCCACAGGCCGTGAATAAAGCCCCTCACTCTTTTGGGTTGCTGTCAAAACAACCCAGAGTCTCTGAGAAGCTACAAGAAGGGACTTGGGCCTCAGATTCGTGCCCTTTAGTGAAGCCAGAGCTCTCCTCCCCCAGAGCCTGCCAGCCTTTGCAGAATGCTAGTGCAGGCCTCCAGGCTGCCCCGAGCACCCAGGCTCCTCCCAGCTCTGAGTGTTGGGGGCAGACCTGTGGTTCTTCTCGGGTGGGGGTGGCGGAGTGTGTAGATCCTGCCTCCACCCAACAGGGCTCCCTGGCCTGGGCTCAAATGGTATTCTCTGAGGTCTGCATAATTCTCTCTCCAGACAAGGAAGTCCTGGCCAGCCTGGAGCAGAAGCTGAAGGAAATTGACGAGGAGTGCCGGGTCGAGGAGAGTAGGCGCGTGGACCTGGAACTCAGCATCATGGAGGTAAAGGACAACCTGAAGAAGGCTGAGGCGGGACCTGTGACGCTGGGCACCACCGTGGACACCACCCACCTGGAGAACGTGAGCCCCCGCGTGAGTGCCGGAGCCACGACCCCTGGCCTGCTTGCAGGGCTCTCTGGACATGGGTCGGGGCAGGTGGGTCACATGTCCCTCCCCTTGACTCAGTCCCTGCTCTCCTCCTGTAACCACAGCCCAAAGCTGTCACACCCACCTCCGCCCCAGACTGTACCCCAGTCAACTCTGCAACCACGCTCAAGAACAGGCCTCTCTCGGTGATGGTCACAGGCAAAGGCACAGTCCTCCAGAAAGCCAAGGTAAGTAGCCACTCTCAGGCTCCCTAAGAGTGCCAGAATTGTCACTAAGGTAGGGCCCATCTTCTGACCCAGGTGGTGCTTTGTGGGTTTGGCACCTGCTCTGAACGAGGGCTCAGCGCTCACCAGGGAGGGGTAGTGGCTCTGGAATGCCATCCCTTTGGCTCAGTCTCTGGCACTGACCAACCAGAAAGGTGCCTGCACTCGGTTCAAGTGTCCTTGCCTTCCACACAGTTATGGGTAGATTCCAGGGGGACAGCTGCAGTTCAGGGACAGATTGTGACTGAGTTTTTAAATCAAAAAGTCAGTGACCCCCACAGGACTTCTACCATTAAAACTAAAACAGACTCATATAGGTGGTATGAACTGCCCACCCAACTAGTGGCAAAGTTCACAGCAAGTTGTAAATGAGGAATGCACGCTATGATGGGGTTTCTCCCTGAGGGCTAGACAAAAAGTGTCATTTACTCATTTGTACATTAAAGAACATGCCTAGGGCTGCCTTTGCTTTTGGCAGACTCTGCTCCTATCCTGCTTACCTGCTAGACATATTTGGAGGCACCCACAACAGTGGCTAATAAATCCATGCAAGCATCTGAGCCTCCGCTCCCTTGCTGCTGTGGCAGACATCACTTACAGCACTCTTTGTTGTGCCAGAGTCTCAAAATCTCTGAATAGGTGTGCTAAGCAGTGATGAACACACATGGTTTGAAACATATTTGTCATCTCTATGCCTATTTATATGCTGAAAATAGTTTTTCTCACATTTTTTTCTATGTATGTCAAGGTTGCTACAGTGGATAACTAACTTTCTTTTTTGTGGGTGGGTGCTGGTATTTGAATGGTACCCTAGGAATGGGAGAAGAAAGGAGCAAGTTAGAAAACAAGCTTCAACTAAAGACTCTCATGTCAATATGGACCTTGGTGACAATCCTGCTTTGTTAAAGCAAAAACTCTGCAAAAAGCTGAGTCTGTTTAGAAGAAAAAGCAAGGACTGAAGTGCTGTGAATGGAGAGCTTCAGCTAAGAGGAGGCTCTGTCCCTTTTCAGAGCCAAAGGAAATAATACAACAAAAAAAGATGATGCTTCTTTGGAGACCTAAGTCTATTGGACGTAAACAAGACATTGTATTTAGGGATGCTCTGTGTTTCTTTTTTGAAGTTTTCATCAATTGCTTTATCAAGATTTTAAAATAGTAAAAACCTTCTCATGTTTAGACTTTGGTGGAAGATGAATCAAGGAAGCAGGGCCCTGTTTTATGGGTCATGTGGCTTTGGTGAGTGAGAAGACCATCATCTCTTATCTAATACTTAGCAGTTGGGGATTAAACCATCTTTGCCTTCACTTCTAATATAACCAGGCCCAACTCAGTCCTCAGTGATTTTTAAACAGCATTGATGTCATCTATAAAACCATCTATGACATGAGTTTTGAGAAACGGTAACGGGGAAAATATTTGACTTCTTTCCAGTCCAAGGCACACCTGAATCAACTGTCTTTAAATAAAATTGTAAGTGATGCTGTATTATATAGGAAAAAATGTTTAAAATCTTCTCATTTAGAACAGTGAAAGTGTCTTTTGAAATTAAACTGACTCTTTAGGGAAAAAAAATTACCCTGTGTTTACAGATTTGTTCCTGTGGTCAGGCCATTTTTAAGGAAAGAGTTATTTAATATAATGCTCTCTTAGTCCGTGATTTTAAGTTCTGTTTAATGTCCATTCCCCTTCCAAGAACAAAGTGGTGATTTCTGGTTTTTGGTTAGGGTGGTCTCCCTCTTAAAATCGGCAGTGCTGTTCCTTGTGCTCCCCGTCTTTTCGCCTGATGGCATTTTTTTTTTTTTTAACGCAGGTTGAAACATTTCATCTATCTCTGCCTCATTTCTGGGGGTTGTATATCAGAGTTCTCTAACACTGGTTCCTGAGAACTAAAGGTCTTTTTTATTCTTATTGTCTTTCTAATACCAGGGCATTTATTTCCTCTGTCATAAACATTTGGTAACCTTTTACCAAGTGGTGAGTTAGATTTTTTTAAAATAAAATGTTCATTGTATTTGAGGTTTTCCTTGTATTTCATGAAATGACTTGGGGCAGGGCCTGGGGGTCTCTCAAGGAAGGAAATGTTTTGGTTATTTACACACCTAGCAGGAGACTCAGCCTTCTTGAATCAAAGAGCATAGATAAGGCAGGAAGCAAATTTTAGTTGTACAGTTAACAATGTACCAAAGACACAGGAAACATCTGCAGAAATTGATCACATATAAGTCAATGAAAAATCAGTACGCCCAGAAGTTGAAATATACTCTTAAAGAATTCTTAGGGAAAAAAAGAAACAACATACCAATACTGGGAAGGTTGCCCAAGTAATAATGAAGGAAGTTTATAGCATAACCCTGTTTATTTAAAAAATGACAAAACCAAAATCTGGTTCATTAAAAAGGCAAATACAATAAAGAGACAACTTAAGGCAATATGAAATAGAACTGAAATGGAGGCCTTACATACAGACACAAAATTTTTCAAATTATATGTATTTTCCACTACAAAGTTAGTATAGCTCTGATACCAAAAATTCAAAACAAATTGTAAAAGAAAACCATTCTCATTGTTGGACACAGATTAAAAGAATCTGAAATAAATGTTGGCAAATGAAATTCAGCAGGGTTTATAGAATGATGTGTAATAGACTTTATCTAAAAAAACAAGGTGGTTCAATGATTGAAAATATACAAATAGGTAATCCATCACATTAACAGATTAAATGTAAAAAAAAGAATACATTATCTTGAAGGAAGAGGAAGAAGTATACCATAAATCTCAACGCATAAAAAAACACTCTTAGTTCATCTGGGAATATACTAATACTAGGAAGTACATACCAATACTGGGAAGGTTGCCCAAGTAGTAATTAAGGAAACTGATCAAGTAACTGGTCAAGTAACCCACAGAAAACAATGATGAAAAAGTCAGAAGCCAGATATGGATGCCTGTGACTACTACTATTTGTGAAACATTATTCTGTAAGTCCTAGGCAATGCAAAATGACCCAGAAGTGGTATACAGCTGTAAAAGGAAGAGACAAAACTGGCATGTGGAATTATTTCTCTAGAAAAGCAAGGGTCGATTCTTAGAACTAGGGTGTTCAGCAAGATGACTGGAATCAGGATTATTCAGAGGAAATAAGAGGAAATTTAAGGCCTATATGCAATGTTTTAATTCTTGCAAAGAAAATATTTCTATCTTACTTGTATAATTAAGGGTAAAAATAAAAATTAAAGCTAGAAATTAAAGCTGATTTCTATTAAATGAAAGAAAAGTCTTGACTAATTAGGCCATAGGATAGCACTCCCGTCTGCCACTATGGGGACACTGACAAAAGCTGAACTCCTCAGTGGCACCCTCACTACAAAAAGGGAAAAAAATGTTTCAAAGGCTGGGACCCCCATCGCCTACAAAGAAACAGTAAAGGCCTCTACTGTGTAAGTCCAGAGCCCACAGTTTATTGTTTAAATCCAAGTAATTCAATCAGGGCACCCCAATACCAGCCCTGAACAAGACAAAAAGACTATATTATAGCATGATTAAACTGTTAATAAAGACCGTGAATTCATATAATTTCTATTACATCACAGATCAGCATTTGCCAGGGGCCACATGATCCTGCCCTGGACATTGCCTTCTGTGAAGGGCAGCATAATAACAAAATGATCAATGAAAGGATCCCTTGAACACAGATGACTGTTATGACTCAGCGTCTGGTTCACCAGACTTTTTAATATTTCAAATCATGGTGATACTGCTTCAAGCACTTTTCCTGCACCAGAAATCCTGAAGTTCTTAAAGCCAAAGTACCCTTGAATGTTTGTATGTAAAACATTATGTTAAAAAATTTATCTTTCAAAGAAAAACAGGCTGGGCATGGTGGCTCACAGCTGCAGTCCCAGCACTTTGGGAGGCCGAAGCATCGGGATCACCTGAAGACAAGAGTTTGAGACCAGCCTGGCCAACATGGTGAAACCCTGTCTCTACTAAAAATACAAAAATTAGCCGGGTGTGGTGGTGCATGCCTGTAATCCGAGCTACTCAAGAGGCTAAGGCAGGGGAATTGCTTGAACCTGGGAGGCAGAGGTTGCAGTGAGCCAAGATTGCATTCCAGCCTGGGCAATAAGAGTGAAACTCCACCTCAAAAAAAAAAAAAATGACAAAGTCTCAAGTCATGTCAGAGCTCTAGAAAGATTTCTACTGAAAATCCAACTCTAAACAACACAACCAAGGGGAAGAAGTAATTTCTAAATACTGCAAGGGTAAGTATCTAGTTTGCTAGAGAATATTCCAAATAAGTCTCTTTGCCACACAGGTACAAATATTCCTGTTTAATAAATAACCAACATTTCTTGAAATATTCCTTTAAAAACTGCGTAGTAAAGCAAAACTAAAACCTAGACAGCATAAGATCAATGCTTTAAAAAGCAAAAATCTCTGTAAATTTCTTTATCCTACATTTTTGAGTTTAAGAATCTTTTCTTTGCCCCACTAAAAGGAGAATAAGAATTCCATAAACATGCCAGAATTAACCCCTTCTAAGTAACTTTTTTTTTTGAGACAGTTTCATTCTTGCTACCCAAGCTGGTGTGCAGTGGTATGACCTCAGCTCACTGCAACCTCTGCCTCCGGGGTTCAAGCTATTTTCCTGCCTCAGCCCCCTGCGTAGCTGGGATTACAGGGACCCGCCACCACACCTGGTTAATTTTTGTATTTTTAGTAGAGATGAGGTTTCACCATGTTGGCCAGGCTGGTGCTGAACTCCTGACCTCAGGTGACCCACCCACCTCAGCCTCCCAAAGTGCTGGGATTACAGGCATGGGCCACAGCCTCCAGCCATAAACTTTTTTAAAAGAAAGGCCCTTCAAGTGGACACTGCTCACTACTCAGACAAATTTCATGTGGCCCCCCAGACCTTGGCCAGTTGCACACTCAGCCTCTCCCCCATCATCAAGCAAGCTGGTTAACTGGTCACATTTCAGTCTGGAATCTTTTCAAGTCTCTCCCACACACAAAATGCAGTCACCAGAAGTCACAGATGCCACTCAAGCCCCTTTTCAGACTCAATGCAAATGCATCCAGAATGTCTTGGGGAGGCGGAAAAGCTGCTGCTTTCCATTTTGAAAGGCCATGGCCTTCGAGGTCCAAAAGTAAAGGCCTCTGCTGGGCATTACTATGTCAACAATGTTCTGGCTAGCACTGATTGTGGGCAAAGGAACGTCAGACAGACCACCAAATTTAGGTCTCCAGGACCCCTTGTTTATCAAGGGAAAGGTGGCAGATGACATAGCGTCAACAAGGCACAAGCCGGTACAGAAAGTCGGTCTTTACTTACACATCAAAAGGTTTCAACAATGTCCTTAGCCAGTGACATCGGCTGCTTTCTTGTCCCTAAGCAGCATGGCTGCAGTCGGGACATCCTCCTACCTTGGTGAGATAGCGGTTCTGGACACAGCAGGAAGGACCCCAAGGGAACAGACCTTCTAGAGGGCAGGCACCATTTCAGTGCCCAGGCCTTCTCTGCAGTTGCTGGGAGGGGTACAGCTGCTGCCCTCCTGCGAGGGAGCCACGTGCCTCTGGGGCATCTCCTCTCAAGAACCCTGGGGAAGGAAGTGAACTCTGAGGACAGGAGTGTCTGCATCCCCTTCTTGGCCCACCAGCAGCCCCTGCCCTTACTCCACAACCCACCTCGCCCCCAGCAGAAGATGCCAGATTAGAGACCCCATCTGATTGTCCTCTACACCCTCTCCCTGGCCTCAGGAAGCTAACCTCTGCCGGTAGCCAAAAACCCAAGGCTCTGACTAGACTGATCTTCTGATTTCTGGTTGTTCTAACTTCAAACTCAGGAACAGGAGCCATAAGTGGGCCCCTATTACCTCCCAACGATCACTCTCTAGGTCCTAACCTGTTACCCTTCTCTTGACTGTCACTTACTATCTTTTCTCTCAAACCTCCAGTGCCGCCTCCTCTTCCTCACTCTGAGCTGTTCCTCCCGTTTTACTGAGCAAATAGAAAACACCCCAAAAGAGTTTCCAGCAGCTCCCACCCCTGCCTCCCTGTACCCTGGATTCACTGTGCTCCCAACCAAGGCCTCCCTGCTAGTTATCATTACTTTCTCCAGGGTGCTTAGCACTGTCTAACACACCACGTGTTGTATGACAATTAACTTGCTGTTGTCTGTGTCCACATTAGAATGGAAGCTCCATGAGGGCAGAGGTGGTATTCATTTGTTTACCGCTATGTTCTCGCACTTAAAACAATGCCTGGGATGCAGGAGGTACTCACTAAATGTTTCGTGGGTAAATAAATAAATGATTGAATAATTCCTTCCACTGGATCAATGTTTTAGAACCTGCCTTCTGCTGAGTTTGTGGGACTTGGCAGGACTCACAGTACCATCCCCGGCTCACACATACAGAGCAAGAGCTCCACTCACGGTTCTCGCAGTGGGGGCCCTCCCAGCCATCCTGGCACTCGCAGCGGTAGCTTCCATTCTGCAGGACGCAGCTGCCCTCGTTCATGCACGGGTTGGGTTTGCAGAGGTTGATTGGCCGCTTGGCTTCTACCATGGAGAACACACCCGCCAGGCCAGGCATGAGTTAGACCCAAAGACCCCCACCGTAAGCCCCGTAGAGATGCAAGGCTACTAGAGTCGCGTCTCCCTTTGCCCTGGTAGCTCATGGTTGGTGCTGGATGCTACTTGGGTAGGTTAGTAAGACCCAGATCTCCTACAGACTCATGGAGATTCCACTGCTCAGATGTGCCATACACATGGCAGACATTCAAGAAGGTGAAGAGGTCGTCACTGGCAAAAGGAAGCCTTGGATTCAGGCTGGCCTGGCCGTTTTCTCTGGGCTCTGTCACTGCCCAAGTCAGTGTCAATGTGGGATCTTTAGACCCTTAGGGAGCTTGTGGGTAACCTAAAAATGTGTTCTGTTTCACAGGAGTGCATAAATTCTCAAGTTTGGGAGTGAGTTATCTATTTTCTGCACCTTAAATGTGAAATGGGGGCAGTTATGCCTACTGGAGGATTTGATGTAAGCATGGGATTTAGCACAGAACCTGGCACTTGGGAAGCAAGTGCTCAGTGGCTGGGAAGAGCTGCCATCCTTGTAATGACATATGTGAAGGCTCAGGCTGAGGGCCTGCCATGGAGGCGGCCATGAGGGTGTGGATTCCCCGACTCACCTCCACACAGCCACTCAATGAGCACGTCCTGATGGTACTGCAGGTTGGTATAAGCTGCCACATGGATCAGGGAGTCCCAGGGACCAGCAAGCCTCCGCAGACCCTCGCTTAGAACAGGCCCCACGCCCACAACCAAGACAGAGATGCCATTGTTCCTCAGTTTCTGGGCAGGGACAGCTGCATCCTCTGCGCCTCTCCCACCTGTGAGCACCACCACAGCTTTGGGGACACCAGGCCGGGCGCCCCTCTGGACAGTCATCACCTTGTCATAGATGTGCAGCAAGGCAGTGCCGGCCGAGCCCACCCCACCCAGGTAGGGGGCCTGGCTAATGGCCCGCAGCACCGCAGCCCGGGTGGGTTTGGTGTCCAGCCCGAAGGCAGTCTGCACCTGGCTGCCATACACCACCAGGCCGACCTGTGTCACATCAGGGTTCACCTCAAACTCGAGAGCACAGCTTCTCACAAAGCTCTGCATCTGAGCAAAGTTCTCAGGCCCTACTGAGGTGGAGGTGTCCAACATGAAGACGAGGTCCAGAGCTCGTGTCTTGCAGCCTGCAGGAGCAAGCAGAGGGGCTTTAGCAGTGGATCTGCCAGCCAGAGCCCCGCCATGGGCCCCAGGGACTGCTGGGTTGGGTGGGGCCCAGGTCAGCCAGAGTGCTCTGTTCACTGCAGAATCCACCCTCCATGCCTGCTCTTAGTCTCAGAACAGTCCTTTCCTAGAAATTAGCAGGAAGATGAGTGCCCAGCCAGACCACCTTTCCTAGCCTCCCTGGCAGTGAGGGTAGCCACGTGTCTATCTGATGGGATGTGATCAATTTCAAACTTCCACCTCAAGGTGGAAGCCATAAGATGACCAAGCCCTGCTGGCCTGGACCACTCACCTCTGAACTCTGTAAGTTCCTGTCTTATGTAACCCATGGGGTTTTTGGGCAGCCCTTTGTGATAGCATCTTCACCTGTGCCTTCATACATCCCCAGTATGCAGGGCACTAATCAGATAAAATGGACCCATGCCTGCTGTCAACAGGCTGACAGTCTAGGGGAACAGACATGAAATATACATAGAATTACAAATGATATCAGCAGCGTGGAGAGAAAAGCAGGGGACTCCGAGAGAGACCAATAGGGTAACATAACAAGACTGGGAAAAGGGATCAGAGCTTCTCTGGGGAGGTGACATTTCAGCTAAGAACTGAAAGACAAGTAAGTATGAGCCAGAAGGCCTCTCCCACGCAGGGGATGCAGAGAGGCCAGCAAGGACCAGGCCACAGGGAGCTCTCAGAAGCCAGGGGAAGGAATTTGGGTTTTATTTCAAGTGCAAAGGGGAGCCACTGGAAATTCTAAGTATGGAGTCAGCGGATCTGATGCTTTGATTATTTAAAAATAATCAGATTTTAAAACCACTCCCACACCAGGAAAGCCTGAGAAACTATCACAGCTACAGGGAAGACGGGCTGAATATATGCATTGTGGAGTCCTTGATGGGACTCTGGTACAGAGAAATGACATTAGGTAAAAAGTAAACAAATATGAATCAAGCATGGATCACTAAATAATGTATCAATATTGGTTTGTTAATGGTAATAATGTACCATACTAATGCAAGGTGTTAAAGGGAGGGGAAACTGGGTGGGGGTTATAGGGAACTCTCCCCTATTGTCAATTTTTTTTTCCTATAAATCTACAACTGTTATTTTAAATAAAAACGAACAAAACAAAAAAGTAGAACAAAAGCACTTAGACCAGCCTGGAGGGGCAGGGTGGGAGTGGGCAGCCAATCCGTCCTTCTCCCTTACAGGAGAGAAAGCCTCCTGCCTTGGGGACAGTGGTGGCATCAGGGTTGAGAAGCAGAATGGCATCCGTAGCTTCCCATGCCCACCTAGCAAGCGGAGAACTCCAGGAGCCCTACAAAGGATGTATTTCACTCATGCCTGTAATCCCTGCACTTTGGAAGGCTGAAGTGGGAGGATTGCTTGAGGCCAGGGGTTGAAGCCCAGTCTGGGAAACATAGCAAGACCACATCTCTATAAAGAATTAAACAATTAGCTGGGCATGGTGTTGTGCACCTGTAGTCCTGCTATTCAGGAGGCTGAGGTGGAAGGATCACATGAGCCCAGGAACTGGAGGCTGCAGGGAGCTATGATCGTGCCACTGCATTCCAGCCTTGGTAACAGAGCGAGACCCTGTCTCAAAAGAAAAAAAAAAGGACATGTCTCAGCGACAACATCTCTGGCCATTGGCCAGGCCTCCATGCGGGGACAGTGTTCTCTAGAGTGCCTTCCAATAGGGGTCATAAAAAAATCAACTTCATGGCTTGAAAAACAGAAGAGAAAAATGTCAGAATGCATCCGAGGAAGACAGGATTAGTATCCTCTCAGGAAGCGTTTGTTTCAGTTGTGTATGGCTGCAGCAGCACGTGTGCATGTGCGTGCATCTGTATGTGTGTGCACCAGGAATGTACTTCCTTCTGTGAGTTCCCATCAAAGGAGCCAGGAAGCTGCCCCTCTGGAGCCTGCTTAGTAGGTTCACAGCTCTTTGTAACAACAATAAAATCGTGATGAATAATGCTAACAGCAACACCTAGGGTTTGCTGAGTGCTTGCTCTGTACCAAGCATGTACACTGCTTATCTCATTTAATTCTCACTAAAGGCCTCTCAGGAGGTACTACTATCAGTTCCATTTTATTAAAAAGTTAACTGAGAAATTGTTATGTGACTGGTACCTGAAAGAGTGGGGCTGTGGTTTCAGCCCCTAACACAGGTGCTGGCAGAGAATGATGGTTAGGTGGTGGCCAAGAGGAGGGAGGACCTGCCCACTGACCAGCTAGGACCTTACCTGGCCGCGGCTGGCTGCACAGCTTCCCCTGCAGCTCAGGGATTTGGTTGAGCAGGTCCTGAGGGTCTGAGTAGACCATCACGTGTTTCAGGCTGCCCGTGATCTCCTCTAGCTCTGCCCGCCTGGCCGCACTGCCTACGCCCAGCAGGAGCAGCCCTCGCGCCCTTACGTGACGAGCTGGGCCGGACACCTCATCCTCGGCGCGTGACTCAGTGAGCAGAACCAGCACTCTACGTGGCCGATCCTGGCCTGTCCTGGTGACGCTCCCGAAGCCACGCTCTGCTGCCTGCCGCAAGGCACTGCCCGTCAGTGTGGGGCCACCACGGAAGGGGATGCCATCGAGGCTCCTGACCAGGTCAGGCACATCCTGGTACTCTCCCACGGGCACTGCCACCAGCAGCTCCCTGCTGTACGTGGCCACACCCACTCGGGCCCGAGAGTCCTCGCTCAGCACGGCCTGCACAAACTGCTTCACAAAGGCTTTGGTCCGCAGGAAGCCATCCAGAGTGGCGCCTGCAGAGCTGTCCAGCAGGAAGAGGAGGTCGATCCTGCATTCCAGGCTCAGCTTCAGGGCTGCGGGGATCACAGCAACACTCACTGTCAAGCCGTGGCCAAACAGTATATGATCTGTCCCACCCGAGATGCCTAAGCACCACGCAGGGCAGGAGGAACTCCCTCCCAGGAGGAGATGGGGCAGAGAAACTGTGGCCACCCAGGGTTAAGTGACCGGTGGCTCATCTCAGAGTTAGAGACAAGGCCGCACATGGCACTCTCCCTCCTGGCACTCACTAAGGGTTTCCATCTGACCACTTTTTAAAAAGAAAAATGCCATCTATGTTATTTTTTCCCTTTATGGGTAGTCTTGTGTATGTGCTGAGAAATCTTTGTCAACCTCAAGATCATGAAGATATGCTCCTGTGTTTGCTTCTAGAGGCTTCACTGCTTTGCCTTCTGCGTGGAGGTCTAGAGCCATGCTAGAATGGACTTCTGGTAGAGTTGTGAGGTACAAGGTCAAGATTAATGGTTTTCATATAGATCTTCAACTAACTCAGTATCACATTTTTAAGTGTTATTATTCAGCAAGCCCTTATATGCACCAAGCATAGTACTAAACATTTTACATAATCTCACTTAAAATTCTCAACCACCCAATGAGGTAAAGCCTACTATCATCTTCATTTCATACCTCTAAAATCAAAAGGAATTGGGGCTCCTTGCTCTGCTTTCATAGCATAGAGAAGAAAAGACTCTCCCCAGAACTGGGAGCCAGAGTTGGGCAGACTCCTGCCTTCAGCTGGGCTGGGCA